GTTTGATAATTATTGAAATCACGTTTTTTTTGTATTTTTTTTGTTATGTGTCGGTCGTGATATCGCACTGCCGGCACATTCGTTCGTCAACGTTTTTCGTCGTTCGTCGTCAGCCATTGAGGCAACTGTTTTTTTTTGTATTTTAATCATCGTCGTTTTTGAACAAATACAATTTTTTTTTCGTTTATATACTTATTTTTTGATACTAATATTTGTTGTGATTTTTTATAGTTTTTCCTTTTAGTCTCGCATTGTGCGAACTACTTGAATTTGTATTTATTAATTGTGCAGTCATAATATATTGTTTTACACCATTGCGGCTAATACTTGTTAAATTGTTATTTTTATTCTCATGCCATTGCGGCTCTCTTTTGTAAACTTAATTATTGCTGTAAGGCTTAAATAGCCATCTCTTTTGATTATAAATTTATTACTATTATTTATTGTTAATCGGCTCTAATAGCCAATATTTAAATATTGTCTTATATTGTTTATTTTTTTTTTGGATTATTATTATTATTTTTATTTATTTATTGTTGATAATTTTAATATAAATTATTATATTTGTTGTGCCAACCAGGCAAATCAAAATTATATTATTCTTTTTATTATATATTTATTGTGCCACTATGGGCAATTAAAAATTATTTTTTCATTTCCCAAACATTAATGTTACTACCGTGACTGGTCCTTCGATCGTCGTTTCGGCCCAAACAGTAACTATGTTGATTATCATTCGATAAAATAAATCTGTTATCCGGCATACTTCGCAAATAAGTGTTCTTGATTTTAACACCGTTATTACGTTTTAATTCAAGGAGATTAATGTTATCATTTTCACGGTTCGCAACGTGTGATTTGGTCTTTACTACTATAATAATATTACGACATGATATACTCTTAAGCAGTGTCGGCTATCCTCAAAATAATATGTGTTGGAGAAAATATTTCTGAGGACCCACCCACCTTCAAATATTTATTAGCAAATACAAATTACCAATATTCAATTAGTGAGTACTGGTTCTCACATATTTTTCCAATTTTTGGGTGTTATCATTGTTATCAACATTATAATTGTGTTATTGTTTAAAAATACATATAACCCTCTATTTCCCTCTATTTTATAAATTAGTTACAAAATTCATTATATTTATTACTTATTACTTTGAATTAAAATAAGAACAACCAAATCAAAAAATATATATTGTACAATACTATACAATATTGTACATAAGTACCTAAATGTAAAAAACGATAATATAAGTATCATAGTCCCACAAGTCACAATAACAGTTTAAAATTGAGATATAATAAATAATTTCAAGGATGAATTTAACTATAGGCAATATATTAGTGCCAATATATCAGGGCCAGATTAAGATTTTTGCCGCTCATAAACATTGTACCTATAGTAAATTTGTTACCTTATTACGCCTAATTACGACTAACTACGATATCGATATTTTATCATAACATACTGCATTTAAATAACATGAAAATAATGTGTCAACGTAAAATATTTTTTGTGCTACATTATAAAACAAACATGCTAATTTGATACCGCTTTTAAAAATGTCTGTCCTTTGAAATAAAAATTTACTATCGCAGGAAAATATATAACCTTAACAGCTTAAGCGGTAGGTAATACAGCCCTAAATATGGAACTGACAACAATAATTATACGAATTACCGAGTAATTATTAAAAATATTAATGATTATAAATTATTATTACTATCTACTTGGTACCTACCTAATGCAGTCATACATATTTATATTTAGAGAAAAATACTAAAATCTAATATTAAATAATTAATACTTACCTTTTACACTTATGGTCGTTTTAAAAAACTTGACAATATTACTGTTATTTGATATTATTTTTCTCTTTTTACTCGTACGTCTTGACCAATTAGTTTTATTCATTTGGTCACGTTTTTTACCACATTCACAAATTTCAGAGTTCATTGTGAATGTTTAAAAATACAAATTCAATTATAAATATTTAAATGAAGTTGTAACAGTGTACAATAAACTATACAAATAAAAAGAAAAACAGATATGCATAAGTTGATCATCTCACTGACAACTAACAAGCATTATATTCTTTCGAAGAAAATAAAAACAAGTTTTCGACTTTCGGCAAACTGAATAACATGCAACTACAACCGCATTAGGCTATTAGCGTTCTATACTCTATTCAATTTTCCATAATGATAAATTTATAACAATATCACACGAATCAGTACCCACACAGCACATGCTGTCCAGTGGTTATTTAATGGATGACCATCACATCCATATTACATCTAGTCCATATGTTACTTCGTATAGATATCGTATAGATATCCATACAAGATAACTTCTGGACTAAATTTACTATGGATATGTTGATCATCTATTTAATATCCACAATATCATTACCGATATGATTCACGCATATGTCGTAATATATAATATCTATAGCTATAGCTGTAGTGGTATAGTATTGATGTATTATAAATAATTTATATTACTACGATTAACGATAATATAATATGATACCTATGACATTATAATAAAATATAATTTATACTTTTATCATACAAATGGTATAACATCAAGAATTTGTTGTATGGTTATTTAGTTATTAAAATAGGTGATATTAATATCTATTCAATTTCTGTGATTACATTTTGTTATGGATCATTGTTTACCGCCACCACTGTGGACTGTAGAGTATCTGAGTAATAAAAATAGAAGACCCTATATATGCAGTATAAAGATATGTATATGGTGTGCTACGTGAATGCGGGTAATAACATTTTGCCATTTTCTCCCACTAGTCACAAACACACTCGGCGATTGACGTAGTGTAGTGTAAAGTGTTTCGGTCTTCCTTATCGGATACCACCGATTAACAACATTATTATGGATTATGGATTGATGTTTTCGGGTTTTTCAGATATTATATTTATTGCGATGCGGCTATTATTATCGTTATTCGTTATAATCTAGGTACGCACTCACACAGTCACACTCTATACACGTAACACGCGTTAACACAGACACAACACTCCAGCCGAGCATTCGACAATTTTGTTTGCTCGTGCCTGTAGCTTATAATACGGCATAGATTTCCGATCAGGTGAGTCATCGTTGGCCGCGGGAATCACGACCGGTGTAGCGCATAATAACACGCGTAAAAGTGTGGATGAACCATTAATTAGCCTAGCGAATTTTTTAGGTATACAATTAATATTAACTTTATATGATATCTATAATAATATACTACTTAATAATGATGTATATAATATAATTAATAGTATATATCAGGGGTGGGCAACTGGTGGCCCGCTAAATTTTATAATTTTCTAAAAATTAGCCTTCTAATAAATTTCAGTTGCCCATCCCTGATATGTATTATATTATTATAATTATGGTGACCAGATGTACTTATTTTATAAGGAGAGTATATACTCGTTTTGGGATACATGTCCTAAGTAAATGGCTGAAGTACACAAATGAATGTACTCATTTTAAATAAAGTAATTATTACAAATATATTGAAAAGGAATAAACATTTCGTAAATTCGTCAATTTTATGCTACAACTTAATATCAAAAAAATGTTAGGAAAATTTTTTTTTAAAAAAATGATTGGTTGAAAAATGGCATCGCCAACTGCAGTATTTGGTGCTATATGTTGATAATCTGTGATAGCTGATGTTATGTTTCAAAATAATTAAAAGTTGTTTTTATATTATATTCAATAAATCATAGTATACCTTTAATCGAGTATATAATTATATAAAATAATAGGACTTATTTTTTATATTGTAAATCTGGTCACCATAATTATAATATATACCTATAGGTATATAGGTAGATTATATACATATTTAATCCATATAGATTATTACAATATTATTCAGATAAGTAGACATAATGTCAAAACGTAAAATAAAAGATACTAGTTGTATAAGTCAAAGGACATTTAGGAGTCGGATAGCTACTGACTTTAATTCATCTCTGCAAGATGATGATAATAGTTTAGATGATCTGGCTACAAATTTGCCGAATACTAGTCATCATGAAAAAGTGCATCATACAGTAGTCCCTGATAGTCAACATGAAGTAGTGAATCATACAGTAGTTCCTGATAGTCATCAAGACCATTTTTTTTTCAATGATTCCGTTAATTTTCAAAATTCCAAGTCTGCAGATTCTTCTTTTCCAGAAGATGATACAATTACATACCTATAAATAACTCCAACTGTAAATCTGAATCCATTGATGAGAAACTGAAAACTTGGGCAGTAAAATATAAAATTAAATTAAATGCTTCAGATGGATAACATTCATATATATATATATATGTTGATCTGATAAAATTACATCAGTTATAAATTTTATCGTTAATGGACTGTATGAAATAAAGGAATAAAATATAAAATATAAATAATTAATTTGATGTTTATTAATAAGTCTTTTATTTTAAGTGCGGAGTCGGCACCTTTACAATTTAGAATACTTTTCCCGACTGAATATAATAAAATCAAAGGCCCGTCGGTACACTAGACCGGTTAGGCCGGTAATGATAACGACGCGGAACACAATCGATATCTATAGGTAACAATATATATACATTATATTTTAGCATATCTCTATCCAAGTTCAAGCTGCAATGAAATAACAAATAATATCCAATAAGAAAAAAAATGTGAATGATGCCTTTCTAATAATGGTAAAATTTAATGTTTATCCTTTTTTAATGTGCATATTCTTATACTTATTATCTTCATTAATCTCTATACATGTACCTTTATGAACTATTCATATATATAAGTATTTTAAACATTGTAAATTGTTTATTAGGGTAAATTAACCATTACAAACAGTTAATATATTGTAGTGTGTACATATATATATTATATAATATAATAGTTTTATATTATAGTATAATATTTTACGACAATATATGAATTTCTGTTATTAAATTTTATGCTTGTTACTTGTTTTAGATTTCCAAGACCAAGTACTAAGACAACTGTCACATATTAAGCTTCATTTATTTAAATTAGATGAAAAACTTTCTGCAATGAATTCTCATTCACTACAAAACACAAATGTGGACACTTATCCCAATATTTTAGAAAATTTTCCTCTTCAATATGAAATGGATTTACAAAATGTTGAAGTAAAACTGATAAATGATGACATTTATAAGTCAAACATGGTATGGTTTGATTTTTTAGATTGATTTAGATTCAAATAGAATAGTTTTTAATGTTATTATTTTTACTACAGTTAACAGCTCTTTCCAGGATGGGTGGTACAAAGACCGATGAAGCTACCAAGTATATTTTAAAAAAAATATACACAAATAAATTAGCTATGTGTTACAGTTGGATGGGAGGAAAAGGAAAAAAAGTTTTATCTACTATGATACTTCCTAAATTAATAATAGATAATATATAATCATAAATTGTGTTTATATAATTTATTTTTTATAGGTAATAATTAATAACATATCAATTTAAAATAATAGTAAACTGGAAATTTCAGTGATTCATTTTTGCGCATTTTAATTTATAAAATTAATTGTTTTTTAGAAGTGGTACAGAAAAGAATCCATAACTGTACAGAAATAGATGTTGTGAATTCAATCAAAAATTGGTTACGACATGCTTATCAAAGAAAACATTATTAAACAGGTATAATGAAGGAAAAATATATTATTTAAACTAAAAAATATTTAACTACAATTATAAACTAAAAACTTACTATCCATATTTGATTGTTTTATGAAAGTATACAGAGTCCAAAAAATATTTTTTTATAATTTATATTTTAAATACATTTTTTTTTTATTTTTAGTATAAAAGCAGCAGGAAAAAAGAGCCTTGGTCAAAATATGGAAGATGAATTGCACTGAACTCCACACATTTTGTGTATCTTAAAAAAAAAAAAGTTTATTTAAATTAAATTTGTTTTACTTTTGATTACTTATCTTTACATTCTTGTTTTAAGATAAAATTTATTTTCCTGGGGTCAACCGATAAAAATCAGTACAACCAATAATATATAGTATGTACAGTGAGTGAAACCTTCCTTAACAGACATCTCCCAAAAGCTGATGATTTTTCTGGAACGAGGATATATTTTCTCATATGTTAATCCCTCCAAATAGTGGACAAAATTTCGGTGACTGGAATGATGTCGGAGGATGTCCGATATTTAGAGGTTTCACTGTATATCAGTGATGTATTTTCAGTTTTTTTGTATGGGGGGGGGGGTTAATATTAAGTTAGTTAATAATATAAAAAATATATACGAGTCATGATTTAAAATTTACACGTATAACTTTTTTTTTTCTGGGGGGATCGATACACCCCCCCTCTAAATATGCCACTGTTGTATGTAATATATAATAATAAATATTATATACTATTTATATATATATATAAATAATATAAATAAATATATATATATATATATATATGAATTGTTGATAATATTGATAAAAACATGGATATTGTCCAAGATACAATGTAATATCTAATAGACGTCTAATGTAAATATTTTGTTCTGTATAGATATCTAAAAGTGTATTGTGGTGGATATACATAAAATATTTTTAATGGATATCCACAAAATTGGAAAAAAGCGGCCATTTGGGTATCTAGAATATATCTAATAGATATCTATGTATATCTTGTAAATATTATGGATATCCAGATTTAATATATAATGTATATCCATTAGACATGTGCTATGTCGGTATGGTGGACATACGTGCATACTGCATAGGGTCGTCGTCGGGCGGGTGGGTGACCGCGACGCGACAAAAATAAACACTGGAATGTCCCAACTGGGTTGTAATTTGTAAACACTAGGATGGACGGGCGATGAAAATTTACGCTACGATCTGATAAATACGTACCTAATCAGAAAATATATTTAATAATTCAAGTCCGATGCAGTTTTATAGCATTTATTATTGTCCGATTTATTCCAGAACTTGTATTTAGTATTGTTTGGATTTAATTATAAGTCATATATATATATATATATAAGTATATATATATATATATATATATATATATATATATATATAAGTCAAAATTCCTAAACCAAAGGACTTGCACATTCAAAATAATAAATTATAAAATATGTGTATATATATATATATTGAATGTGTCAAAATAATAATTTACAATAAATCCTTGAAATATTTTTTTTTATTTCCTTATAATTTCCTTACATTATGAATACTATTTTATACAATTTTTAAAAGACCTATGGGGGGATCTGACCCCCACATCGCTCCTTGTATACGTCCTTGCAATAGTAGTATAATCACGAACTAGATGATCACCAATCAATGATATGGCAAAAGGTTAGTTACAGTGTTAAACGTAAAGTAGTAAAGCAGTTGAGCGAGCGTCCCTCCAAAATTTTTTATTCTGAGTTACATTGATTAGAAAAAATATACACACTGCAAGAATGAATGTTCACCCGAAGTTGCCGCGTGACTTTTCACAATTACTACTTTGATTTCAAACCTACACAATAAAATTAGTGTAGACAGTCCTAAGTCTGTTTTATAAAATGGAAAGGAAAATGTTGAAACTTTTTTGTAAATAAAATAGCATGGTATATACCATATGTACTAGATATATATTTTGAGCGACCGCAACTAGTATGTAACCTTTTTGTTGGGTGACCGCAACTAGTACGTAATTTTTGATGTTGACCGCAACTAGTGTACACCGAAAACTATATTTGTACCGGCACTTCACTGCAGACATCGTACACCGACGTTGAATGTGACCGTCATCGAGGTAAACATTTTCGGGAAAAAGCATATACATGTCATTCAATACAAAACGAACGCGAACAAGATGCATTTATTTCATTAACCTAAACAATTTCTTATTACAACTTTCTTTCGCATTGCGAACGTAAAGCACTAGGTGCAACGATGATAATCAAATTAAAGTCGTCTACTGATCACGTCAATTGTGTTTGCATAGGACGTTATTTCAACTATGTTATTACTTGAAAACATGTATTCTTATCCGGAGATCACTAGAGGTTGAAGTCGATTTACGGTATCGTTCGTTATAGTAACAGTGATAATATCGAATACATGCAAAAGTATAATAAAATAGTAGACAATGAAATAAAAATTAGTAAATTGTTAACACTCGTAAATTAATAAATAAACACGTTTATAAACACATTATGAAGTACAAAATTATTAATTTGCGTCTAATTAAGTTCTCAGAGTTTACCATCGGCCGTAAAGTCCGAATATTTTGTGTTTGGTTGAACTGTGTACTTTTTAAAAGCTGAATCGAAACGCGTTTTAATCATCAACCAAGCCTCAACTGATTTTTCGACCAGGTGTTTAATGAAATGCAAAGTGCCGCTGCACACGTCCGTCCATTGCAACACGATTCGAAGTGTTCGGCTTAGCTACTTTAGAAAAGTAAAATAAATCGTTTTACTCGTCGATTGAACGCAACGAAAGTGTATGTCACTCGAATAAAATTCTAACGGAACGGCTTTACTACTCGCTTTACTTTCTTACTTCGAAGTTACGATTGAAAAAAAAAAAATCGTACAAAATGACCAGGACCGGATTAAAAGTTTATCGGGCCTGGAGTCTAGTAGTACAAAGGGCTCTTAATCCTTATAATATTACCGATAGCTGAATTTTATATCTTTAAAAAAATTATACAAAGTAATTGATTATACAGAAATATCTTTAACCTTTTTTAATATTTATCAATTTTCGTTACATGCAAATATACAATATTATTCTTAAAATGTAAAAATATAATTATAATATTTTAAAACTAACTTTATTCTCTTATTTTCTCTTCTCTTTTTGGAACTCCACAATAATTTCATCTGTATTTATTTCGTTTAGTAGAGATCTCAATTACGGATACAAATAATACAATTACGAAAATTAAAAAAATATATAATCAAAATAAAATTTAAACCTCAAAGATTTTGAAGAGGGTTTATGATAGAAGGCCCCTTTGGGATCTTAAATATTTTATGACATGGAGCCCGGGCTCCTAGGCTCCGTGCTTAATCCGGCCCTGAAAATGACGCGGAGCCACAATATTTTTGTGTTTGAAAAATTTGTCGAACCGTAGACACGTGTTCGTTCGCAACGCCGCGCCGGAGAAACTAAAGGTAAAGAAATTTTTCCGTTACCTTTTCGTCGGACCTCAACGAAATCACGTTACCGCGAAATCAACGGTGCTTCGCTCGCCAAACACCGGCGGGGTTTTTCGGAACGTCAAACACCGTAGCCGTCGGGGCGCGCGCCCTCCCCCCACCCCGCGAACCCGGTTTTCGCCCTTTCCGCGGCCGGCATAATAACATTGTGTACACGCGCACCGTCCGCGACCTATCCGTGTCCGTGCCGGGCCGTGCGTGCGACGAAAATCTATTACACGTTCCGCGTCTTCGCTAGGAGAAGCCCTCGAATTCGCATTAACGGTGATCAATCTTCATCCATCAAATCCCGATAGTTGCCCGGCGTGTGACACACGCTTGCGGCCGGCCGTGACGAGGGTCGTCGACGTGCTCGCGCGCGTACACGCATCACACACCGCCGTGCGCGTGCGTTGCGCGCAATAAAAGAAAAGTGGCCCCGGATAAAGCGCACTGCGAGATATTGTTTCAGACCGACGGAACGAATATTTATTTATACCGTTGTTGTGCGCGGTGTTTCCCCCCCCCCCCCCCCCCC